CACCGTCTCGCGGGCGGTCGGAGGTGGGGGGCACTCGGGTCTGGGGGCGGGCGTAGGGGCGGCGGCGGATTTCGGGTGACAGCTCTGCACAAAGCAGCCTCACTGGGTGCAAACCCTCCTCCGGGTGTGCAGCGACCCTCGCCGGGGTGGGAGGCGGACGGTGCCCCAGGGCATGAACCTCCTCCTTGCTGTGGCAGCGGGGTGCGGTGTGGGGATCCCTATCTGAGGAAGAGGGAATTCCTAGGCTGGGGTGTTGCGGCCACGGGGCTCACCGATTCGTCGCGGTGTTGCGGGTGTCCCCTGATCACCCTGTTTCCTTTTTGCACAGCGGCATCTTCTCCCCGAGTCTCCTTGCACCTTCTCAGCGCAAAGGTGAGCTCCGGGGGGGGGGGGGGGGGCTGTGGCTCTTCCGACTTCGGAGGAGAAACGAAAAGGCTGTTTGGAAAGCGAAGCGGCTGCAGCTGGCCCCGGGAACGTTGGGCTCCCCCCTGGGGGTTGTCAGCTCTGTCACCTAGGGAGTGCCTGCTGGGGACGCCCCGCAGTCCGGGAGTAGGAACTCCCTGCCTGGTGCTTCCCAGCCGCTGGGGTGGCGGCGAGGAGCGGGCACAGCCCGCAGGTATTGTAGTAATACTCCGGCACCCACGCGTTGGGACAGGATCGGCCTTGGAGCCGGGTTGCTGGGGGTAACTCCTTTGGGACCGCGGACGGTGGAGGGGGGACAGATTACTGTAGATGTTAGTCAAGAGTGGCAGCTGGCAGGTGAAAAAGGAAGAGCAGGCCCAGCTGTAGAAAGTTGGGGGTTCACTGATCTGGAACGTTACCAAGTAGAGGCCCAGTGCACCCCTGGGAGAGCGTGCAGTCCCTGTTGTACTCCATTTGGGGAGATCCACCCCACCCCATACAGCGCAACTCAGGGCTTTTGTGTTTCGTTTGGCTGGTTTTTAAGAAATCGATTTTAGTGGAAGGAGAGTGGAAGGCAGGGAAGGTTTCTTGAGGAGGTATAGAGAAAATTACCATCAATAATTAATTTGATTTCTAGGCTGAGAAAGTCAACAATAGACATTCAGGCGACTGGACTGAATCCATATTTGAGAAAATTTGTCTTGTCTGGGAGCCCTGTGTGCTAGTCCTGCCTTATTTTAAATGGCTCAAAGGGAAATTTCTGGAAAAGTTTCTTATAGTGTAGAAATTATGCTGATTCTTTATTTTTATTCTACTGTGAAGTCCTTTTAATTACTATTTTAGTTAATTCTACGTACTTTCTTTAGTCTTTTTGATAGCTACTTAAGAAAAACTGACAATTATTAAAACAAATCTAGACACCAATATATCCATTTTACATATATAGTCCCCCCCCAATATCATCCTTTTGTCAGACAAAGAAGAAACCAAAATTCTGACTTTAAAATTAGAAAGAAGTATCTTATAAAGTTATACTGAACATGAACTAAGTTGTTTATATTTAAAGTCAGGTGTATTTATTTGAAGAATCAGATAGAACACTTTGCTTTCATGACACTTTAATAAAATTTCTAAGACTATATTTAAAAGCCAAATAGCTAGCCCTCCCATTCTTATTTAAAAATTTTCTATTTTAGGACTCAAGAACAGTGAAAACAGACATTATAATAAGTGTGAAAAGTGAATGAGATTGCATAACTGTTAATTGTATAATTAAAAGTAAAATGCACTACTTCAAAACCTTCACTCAGTTTAAAGGTCATTTAATAATGGCTTTTATAGTAAATGTTTTCACTTTCATCTTTAATTTTTTTCTCAATTCTGTTTTTCTTTAAAGCATTAAATATAAATTTACCATTGTACAGTGGATTAAAGTGTTTGGTGAAATTTCTAGAAATTATGCTTTCTTTTGGGAATGCTTGCATGTCAGATTGTCACATGAATCTGGGTTTATTTATGTCCTTATGCTCCACATTAGATTCAGATATCTTGCTATGGTGCCTACATACACTGTGCTTTTTTACATGTAGTATAAACATGTATATATGTGCATAAAATGAGCCACATTTGTGGTTCATTTTAAGAATAATCTGAGTTGTATATACTAAGAAATCTGTTAGATTGGACATCCTTTTGAAAATGCAAATGTAATCTAAAGCTCCTTTCTTTGGGTATGACAATTATAAATAGTAATACCACATTTAATACTATTAGGGCTTTTTCCAGCATTGTAATGTGTGCTTATTTGAAGAATCAGATGGAAGAAAACCTTCAGTATACTAATTTACTTTCATGACACTTTGATAAATATTTCTAAGATTATACTTATAAATTGCTTAATAGAAATTTATTTAGTACCTAAAGAAACAGAGTGCTTTTTCAGAGTGTGTGTAGGGTTTATGTGTTTATAACTAACAGAATACTGAGAAAGTGAAGTCTGAGTTTTAAAGGGAAATTATAACATTGGTTTAAAGATTTCTCAAAGTTGACATAGGTGACAGACTTCATTTTCTCACATGCTGTTAATTTATGAATGTTAGTACAATTCATAGAGATGAAACAGTTCGATGACAGGCCCCTCAAGCTTTTCTCCAGGATTATAATGTACCTTATAACACTTTGCCACTTTCAGATTCCTTATCCATAGAAATGCTGTGTTTACCTTTTATTCTGTCATTTTGTGTGAGTGCTCATGTGTGGGGTAACATGCTGATGGATCATGATGGATCATCATACGAGCATATGATCGTTGTAGGGCTCATGTATTGCACTAAGCATTTTCATCCTTTTTCTAGTTTAATTGAAAAAATACTAATTTGGTCATTCTTCTCTTTCATGGTTACTATGTAAAATTTTTCTTTGTAGCCTTTTGATTCTTAATGTTTATTTAAGCACCATGCTGTTGAGCTAGTATGAGAATTCATAACGTTTTTCTAGTAGGAAACCAAGCCAAGATACCTTGGTGAATAAATGGAGTGCCTGAAGTTCATTGGTGGGTTTTAATAAGAAGGAATGAACTTTTTTTTTTTTTAAGATTTATTTATTTATGCATACAGAGCTGGGGTACAGGCGAGAGGTGTGGTGGGTGACAGCACTCACCAGAGACAGATCGGGGACAGAACAGGCAGATTGACAAAATACACTGCTGAGGAGATCAGCGGGTTCAGGAGAGGTCTGCTGCGCCATGTGGGTTAGCTCCCTGGCCGGGGGTCAAACTCGTGCTGCAGTGGCTTCGGAGAGCTTCATAATGAGGTGCTTTAACCCATTGCACCACCAGGGAGAGCCTAGAATGAATGTTCTTTTTAAAATCTATCAAGAGATCAAAATTCATGGGCTGCTAAAAGGATGACAGACTAGTTTGAATTTTACAAACACTAGTGTAATGTATTACTGGTCATTCCCGTGATGTGTTTCTTATTTTTGTCTTTTGAAATGTCCATGCTACTAATGGATAACCTTTCTGAAGTACTTATAATCTGCCAAGCCTGGTGTTTTCAGTCTTCATATCACTGTTCTTTGCTCATTTTGCTGTGCCCACTCTGTAGAATGAGAACACTGAGACTGAGAGAAGTCACTAGAAAGTCATGGCTGTCCACTCAGACCGTCTACCTGCAGAACTACAGTGCTACAGTGTGTTGACAGTATTGCTAATATCTCTTGGTTTGATTTTCTTTTGCTTTTCCTCCAGGTCTTTCAATATAATGGCAACCCCACGAGGAAGGACAAAGAAAAAAGCATCTTTTGATCATTCTCCTGATAGCCTTCCTTTGAGGAGTTCCGGTAGGCAGGTATTATTCCTTTATTTTTTCAACACAACTTTTGGAACATACAGAATGATAATAATTGCACAAAAAGATCCAGTTCTAGCCCTGAAGAGGCTTGTAGTCTAGTGCAGACATTCATGCCTGGATAGTCAGTCCCACTATGGTGTGATAAAGTGGTGGAAGAAGCTAGCAATCTAGCACAGACATTCAGGCCTGGATAGTCAGTCACACCTTAGTGTGATAAAGTAATGGAATATAGAACAAAATATTCTCTCTGGCATAAGAGACCACAAAGCAAGGGGAATAGATGTGAGTCAGTGAAAGTGCGTGAATCGGAGAATTACAGCTGTGTGCCAGCTTCTAGAATGTGAGCTGGGGAGGGATCATGCCTGGCTTGGTGTCACTCATAGGACTTTGGATGAGGTTGTAGTTGCTGGGTTGCTATTAGCAAGTTACTTGCTGCCATCTTTTTTGGAGAACTTGTTTTATTTTTAAAGAAAAATATTAAATGATATGATTCTTTATCTAGAATTTTTCCGTTTTGTTTTTGTTTTTATCTGCATATACCTGTCTAAGGAAAAATAATTGGAGAGTGAATTTTCTTTTCACTAATACTGCTTTTCCCTAAGAAAGGCTCGCATGCATTTTACTCAGAGAGCTGTAGTCTTGATTTCTGGCAAGTTAGTAAATTCTTTGTACTGTAAAATCTACAGGAAATTGCTATATTGTCAGTTCCCATTCCCTGCCAGGCATTGCTGACCTTCACTTCACTCCTGTGCTGCACACAGGAGCTGGGGTACAGGCCAGAGGTTTGGGAGAAAGGGTTTGCCAGATCCAGAATGGGGAGCAGAACAGGCAGACCTACACACTGCTAAGGGGAGCAGTGGGCAAGACAGGAGAGGCTTGCTGTGTCATGTGGGTCATCTCCAGGGATGGAACTCGTGCTGCAGCGGCTGCAGACAGCTTCTTAGTGCAGAGACTTAACCCTTTGAGCCACCAGGGAGACCATTGACCTTCACTTTTAGAATCCCCCTAAGTGAAAGTGACTTCAGTAGCAAACCTGCCACCACCTTTGCCCTTGGCCATTTTGCTAAAATCTTAACCTCAGCTGGTTCTTTCCCAGGCGAAGAAAAAAGCAACCGAGACCACAGACGAGGATGAAGATGGCGGGTCAGAGAAGAAGTACAGAAAATGTGAAAAGGCCGGCTGTACAGCGGCCTGCCCTGTGTGCTTTGCCAGCGCTTCCGAAAGGTCTGTTCAGCTGGCCCGGCTTGGGCTCACCTTCCTGTCTGTGAACCTGCCCTTTGTGGGAGCACCCTCCTCCTTGAAATTAGTTTTCCTAAAGCTGCCAATACTGTCAGTCATCCGCTCTAGAACATTTTCCTTAACTTTCTGTGCACACTGTGCCCTCCTGCCTCTCCCTGCTCCCCTGGCATGTCAACCCTGCCCAGTGCCAGGCCCTCAGATCCAGTAGCCAGCATCTGGGGGTACAGGAAAGGCAAGCCGGTAAGGAGTGGCTGCAAAGAGAGACCCTTGCATTTACTTGCCCTGTGTTTCTTTTCTCCCTCATGTCACATCCCTCCTCTGCAGGAGACATTTCAGGTCTCATTGAAATAAGGTGCTCATTGCACTCTGGCTATTGGGATGACCCAAGCCTAACTTTTTACTTCCAGGGAAAAATCTACTGTTTTAAGTCTCCATACAACCTGGGGACAAATCCTCTTTGCCATTAAGCTGGTGTTGATGTCCAGCGTGGCATTCTCTTTGGTTCTTTGACCACATTATTGGCTGTTTCACTGGTTACATTTGCCAGTTCCCTTAATGGTCAGAGTCCAGCTGGACAGATGCGTTTACTTTTCAGTAATGGGCCAGGCTAGATGTTATGACTAGAAACCCACTTACTCTTTCACGTACACACAGCTGGCACCAGTGAGTGGTTCCCCTCGTTTCATGTCCTAACGCCCTGCCATGCTCCAGAGAGTTCTGTTGAAATCCTCAGGCCCACGCCTCCTGATGGGCATCCAGCTAGGCCAGCTACCCCCAGTGTCACACCTGTGCCCTCACCATGTGTTAGAACAAACCTATCACCTGTCCATTTTCCCTTTGCTGCTCCTGGTAGTTTCTGTGCTAAGTGGAGATAATATAACCTGGCCTTACAATGAGGTCCATGGTAAGGTTTCTTCCTGACCTCAGCTCCCCGTTTCTGCTATTTTCAGATGTGCCAAAAATGGCTACACATCTCGATGGTACCACCTCTCCTGTGGGGAGCATTTCTGTAACGAGTGCTTTGATCATTACTACAGAAGGTTTGTTTGCTGTTGGTGGAGGTTGGTGGGTGCAGGGCGTGGTGGGACAGGGAGGGGGCCAGACAGTTGAGACCAAGCCCCAGGTGCTGAATTGTTTCAGCCATGCCTGTGTGGCCACAGGACATCGGCACTCGCTTGCTTGTGTGTGTGCACGCTCAAGATTGGAAAATAGCCATCAGACAATTACTCATTTTAGTCTGCAAGTTCTGAAAAATCTGGAACTAGCTTTGCTTTCTGCTGACTATGCAAAGGGTTGAGGGGGATGCTGACAACTAGAGTGTGCTGGACAATCAGAAGGTCTCCCCTCTAGAATGTGCCTCGTGGAGTCCTTTAAAGAACATTTGTTAGGCTGCCTTCTAGTTTGAAAATCTGGTTAGCTTCCAGCTTGATGTGCTCTTTTTCTTCTGTTCCAGCCATAAGGATGGATATGAGAAATACACTACATGGAAAAAAATATGGACTAGCAATGGGAAAACTGAACCAAGTCCCAAAGCTTTCATGGCGGACCAGCAACTCCCCTACTGGGTAAAAGGCTATGGCTTGTTTTATTGTTCTCTAAAGCAGAGGTGGAGCAAAAAGCAGGAGGGGCGGGTAGAAATACACACTTTTAGGAAATCATTTTTTACTATCTGTACTGTTTTTTCAATGGCAAGTCAAGCACATCACTCTTTTCACTTAGATTAATCAGTGTACTATAAAAAAATAAAGACTGAACATCAGCTGGTCACAGCCATTGCTGCTCTAAGATACTCCAACCTTCTGGGGTGTTCGTATTTTTATGTATGTTTATAAGCACAGATGAACATGTTGCATGGTTATAAACATGATTCCATACTTGATATAGAAATCCTAAGTAAGGTTTTCAGTCATACTTTGCATATAATATTTGGAGAGCTTTAATTTTCTTTATTAAGTTTATTTTGCCATGTAGCTATTCTTTGAAAATAAATTTTAGGGCCCTCCCTGGTGGCACAACAAGTTAAAGCACAGCACTGCAAATGAGAGTTTGATCCCCACCCGCCCTGGAGGTGACCCACATGACGCTGCAGACCTCTCCTGACCCTCCCACTGCTCCCCTCAGCAGTGTACTTTGTCAACCTGTTCTTCTCCCTACTCTGTCTCTGGTGAATCCTCTCACTGCCCCTGCACCTCTGAACTGTACCCAGTTCTATTTATATTCATAAATAAATCAATCTTTAAAAAAAAGAAAAAAATTTTAGTGATTACATAGATTGCATCATTCAAACAGTGATTCCCTGATATTATAGATCATTCTGAGCTCTTGCACACTTAAAATTTGTTTTTGTTAATGGGAAATTCATGTAAAATTAGTCATTTAAAAGTGTACAATTCAGGGCCTCCCTGGTGACATAGAGGTTAAAGACAGCGCTGTCAAGCAATCTGCAGCAACTGCAAAGCATGAGTTAGATCCTCATCCAGGGAGGTGACCCACATATGGCACAGCAGACCTCTCCTGCCTCGCCTGCTGCTCCCCTCAGCAGTGTGTTTTAGTAAATCTGCCTGTTCTGCTCCCCACTCTCTCTGGTGAATCCTTTCACCCCCTACCCCCATACCTCTGGCTTACAACCCTAGCTCTTGTGTGCATAAATAAATAAATCTAAAAAATAAAAATAAAGTATATGAATCGGTGGTAGTATCTTCACAGTGTTGTGTAGCGTCATCTCCTTCTAAATTACAAAGTATTTTCCTTACTCTCAAAGGAAAACTGTGCCCATCAGGCATTTACCTCCCATCCCTCTCTCCAGCCAGCCCCTGATCTGTACGTTTTTAGAGATTTAAGTATTTGAGATGTTTCATATAAAGGAATCAAGTAGTATGTGACCTTTCATATCAGATTTCTTTCACTTAGCATGTTTTTAGGTTCATCCACTAAGCCCTTGTAGCATATACTGGCACCTCATTCCTTTTGGGGAGTGAATAATATTCCATCGAATGGATATGCAACTTTTATTTACCCACTCATGCATTGATGGACATTTGGTTCATTTCCACCTTTTCGTTACTGCACTTAGCGTTGCTATGAGTATTTGTGTATAGATGTTCATTTGCATGCTTATATTCTTTTGAGTGTATGCCTAGGAATGAAATTGTGGGTTATGTGGTTACTCTATGTTTAACTTTTTGAAGAACGCCATATTCTTTTCCATAGCTAGCTGCTGGATCAGTAGTGTAGGAGAGTTTAAATTTTCCCACATACTCACCAATTCTTATTTTCTATGATTGTGATTCTAGCTATCCTAGTGGATATAAAGTGGTATCTCATGGTTTTGATTTGCTTTCTCTTTGATTTATATCCTTATAATTACTTAGTAACTATTGTTAAACCTTCTTTGAAAAAATATTCAAGTATTTATCCATTTTTAAATTGCCTTTCTGTTATTCAGTTGTAAGGGTTGTTTATATTGTGTATACTAGACTCTTAGCAAATATATGACTTGCAAATATTTTCCCCATACAGTATATTTTCACTGTCTTGATAGTATTCTTGATGTACACAACTCTAATTTTTGTGAAGTTCTAACTTTTATTTTTTTTATGCTTAGATCTAAGAATTCATTGTTAAATCTGAGATCATAAATTCATAACTTTTTTTAATATTGATTTATTTCTGCATACAGAACTAGGGTACAGGCCAGAGGTGTGGGGGGATGAGAAGATTTACCAGAGACTGAGTGGGTAGCTATACTGCTGAGGGAAGCAGCAGGCGGATCAGGAGAGGGCTGCCATGCCATGTGGGTCACCTCCCTGGCGGGGGAATGGACTCATACTGCAGTGGCTGCAGATAGCTTCATAGTGCTTCACTTTAACCTGTTATGCTACCAGGGAGGGCCCTAGGGTCATAAATTTTACCTTTGTATTTTCTTCTAGGAATTATGTCATTTTAATTTTTTTATGAAGGTGTTTGCTTTATTTTAAGCTTTTTTTGTATGCATGCAAAGGAAGGATCCAATGTCATTGTTTGCATGTGTATGTCGACACTCTTAAAAAGAAATAGAAGTTTCATTTTAGAATCTTTTTTTTCATTTACAAAAAATGTGCAAAGATAATATGGAGAGTGCCCTTTCTATCTTTCACCCAGATTCTCCTAATGTTATCTAACACCCCTGATTACTTGTGAAATTAAGGAATTAGCATTGATACAGGATGAATAACTTCATGACATATTTCTTTGGATTTCATTGATTTTTGCACTAGTGCTTTTTACTATTTCAGGACCCAACCCAGGTTATCACACTGCTTTCAGTGTGCAGACTTTCTGACCAACTAAACTCAACTCTGATTATTTTTATATGTTAGTGCTGGAAAATCTTTCTGGTAACAGTGCTCAGATCCACTTTGAACTCTCCTATTCCCTGAGCTAGCGTTCAATGAGAAATTATCCTGATTGGGCAAAAGTGGATTATGTGGGTGGTAGGGTGATACAAGGGGGAGAAAAATTCTTAAAAACACTAAAAGATTCTGTAAATCTTGGGCCCTCTTTGGCAGCACAGCAGGTTAAAGTACAGCACTACAAAGCTCTCTTAAGCCACTGCAGCACAAGTTCGATTCCTGGCCAGGGAGGTGACCCACATAGCGCATCAGAACTCTCCTGACCTGCCTGCTGCTCCCCTCAGCAGTGTATTTCAGTAGATCAGCCTGTTCTGTTCCCCACTCTATCTTTGGTGAATCCTCTCACCTTCCACCCTGCACCTCTGACCTGCACCCCAGTTTTTGTATGCATAAATAAATAAATCTTTAAGCGAAGAAGATTCTAAAAGGCGAAAAATGACGTAAAAAATAAACTATTATATTAATTTTAAAAATGATTAAATGAAGAAGATTCTGTAAATGTGGTGAAGAAAGTGATGACAGGTGTGGTAGGGATAGAAATGCTAGCTCGAGACTATCCGATTCATTGTCTTGGCTTCCTACTTAGGTTCAGTGTACAAAGCCCGAATGTGGAAAATGGAGGCAACTTACCAAGGAAATCCAGCTTACTTCACAGATAGCAAGGACCTACCGGTGTGGAATGAAACCTAATGCTACTGCTAAGGTATGATGCTTACTATCTTCCTTCCTTTTGAATTAATTGATAAATTCATTTAGCTGTCAGTAAATGGCAATGCTATTTTTCATTTATTATGTTAATTACTCTATCTAGATTGTATTGGTCCACATAGAGCTGAACCCCATCTATAATCATTTAATCAGTAAAGATTTTATGTTTTCCTCATTATAAGAAATTTGGAAGTAAGCTGTCCAGGTTGGTGTGGTTGCCAGAGAAACACTCTTTAGTTTCCAGTTCTCTCACAAGATGGTTCTCTCATGAGATGGCTGCCACCGTCAGACATTCTGTACAAATTATAAGCAAAAATGGAGGGAAGGCAAGGAGAGAGGCCTGTGCAGCTGTTTCTCCTTCATATATTGGGAAAACAGGAGCTTTCCTGAATGTCTGAGTTGATTTCTGTTTATATTTCACTAACCAGAACAGGAGTAGGGAGCAACTCTGAGCAACTACAGATCAAGGAATAAAAGCTTTTATATCTGAGCATGTTGCAGTATCAAACAGATATCCTGCTAGTAAGGAATAAGGGATGGATATGTCTGGGCAGTTAGCAATCTGTGAGTGATGGAATGTGCCCTTTGTGAAATTTGGTAGTTACGTGCTGTTTACAAATATTAAAATTTGGCCCTCCCGGTGGCACAATGGGTTAAAGCACAGCACTAAGAAGCTAAAGCCACCTCCACATGAGTTCAATCCCTGCCTGCCCCAGAGGTGACCACATGGCGTGGCAGACCTCTCCTGACCCGCCTGCTGCTCCCCTCAGCAGTGTACTTCGTC